ACCATTAAGCAGGACTATACAGAGTGACACGATGTTAAAAATGTAAATAAAAATGGAACGAGACCCGCCGATTTTTTTTTCAACGGGTTGTCGAGAATATTAAACCATTAATTTATCAGTAAGGATCATCTTTGAACAAATAGTTCTTACTTATTCTTCTACTTTTTTATTTCTTTCGTATTCACGGGATGCCAAAAATACTAAAATAACACTCAAAATCGTTCCAGGTATTTATCATACCAAAGACTAAGAACATTTTGAGCTGGACGATCTAGAGTGACATGCTGTTAAAGATGAAAATGTCGATCGAATGAGACCTTCTATTTTTTTATTAGTTTAACAGACTGTCAGAAATAAATAAAAAACTTTTATTTTTAGATCCAATTTCAATAATTATTATTTAATTTGTTCTTCTTTTGTATTGCATGTTTTTATGTCTTATGAATTAAATTGGATTGAATTTTTTAATGTATTTTTTTTCCCATGTGTTGTCACTGGCAACACATCCATCAACCAAAATCATTGCAGGTTTTTAACTTATTAAAGACTTAGAATCTTTTAAAACTGGTATATGCAAAGTGACATAGTATTAAAAGTGAAAATAAATATGGATTAAGAGCTGGTTTTTCTTTTCTTTTTTTTTTAGTTTAATGGGCTCTCAAAAATACTAAAATAGCAGACAAAACCATTACAATTTTTTAACCTACCAAAGACTCAGAACCTTTTAAGTGAGATAATGCAGAGTGACATGTTGTTAACGATAAAAATGAAGATGGAATAAGACCCACCGATTCGTTTTTTTTTTTTTTTTTTCAACGGGCTATTATAAATACTTAAATAACAGCTAAAACCATTACATATTTTTATCCTACCAAAAACATGGAACCATTAAGCAGGACGATACAAAGTGACATGATGTTAAAAAATGTAAATGAAAATGGAATGAGACCCGCCGATTTTTTTGTTTCAACGAGTTGTCGAAAATATTAAACTATTAAATTATCGGTAAAGATCATCTTTGAGCAAATAGTTCTGCTTATTCTTTTGTTTTTTTCTTTTGGGTTCAACGGGGTGCCAAAAATACTAAAATAGCACTCAAAATCGTTCCAGGTATTTAACCTACCAAAGACTAAGAACCTTTTAAGCAGGACGATGAAGAGTGACATACAGATGAAAATGTTGATTGAATGAGACTTTCCGTTTTTTTATTAGTTTAATGGACTATCAGAAATAAATAACAAACTTTTATTTTTAGATCCAATTTCAGTAATTATTATTTGATTTGTTCTTCTTTTTTATTGAGTGTTTTTATGCTTTATTAATTAAATTGGATTGAATTTTCTAATTTATTTTTATTCCCATGTGTTGTTACTGGCAACACGTCCATCAACCAAAACCATTGCAGGTTTTAACTTATTAAAGACTTAGAACCTTTTAAACCGGAATATGCAAAGTGATATAGTATTAAAAGTGAAAATGAAGATGCATTAAGAGCTGTTTTTTTTTTTTTTGGTTTAACGGGGTGTCAAAATACTAAAATAGCAGATAAAACTATTATAATTTTTTTAACATACCAAAGACTCGAAACCTTTTAAGTGAGATAACGCAGACTGACATGTTTTTAACGATAAAAATGAAGATGGAATGAGACCCACTAGTTCTTTTTTTTTTCAACGGGTTGTTATAAATACTAAAATAACGACTAAAACCATTGCAGATTTTTAACCTACCAAAAACATGAAACCATTGAGCAGGACGATACAAAGTGACATGTTAAAAATGTAAATGAAAATGGAACGAGACCCCCCAATTTTTTTGTCAACGAGTTTGTCGAGAATACTAAACTATTAATTTATCGGTAAGGATCATCTTTGAACAAATAGTTCTTGCTTATCCTTTTTTTTTTTTTTGGTTTAACGGGGTACCAAAAATAATAAAATAGCACTCAAAATTATTCTAGCTATTTAACATACCAAAGACTAAGAACCTTTTAAGCAGGATGATGCAGAGTGACATGTTGTTAAAGATAAAAATATCGATCGGATGAGACGTTTTCTTTTTTTTTGGTTCAAAGGGCTATTATAAATACTAAAATAGTAACTAAAACCATTGCATATTTTTAACCTACCAAAAACATGTAACCTTTAAGCAGAGTGACATGATGTTAAAAATGTAAATAAATATGGAATGAGACCCGCCATTTTTTTTTAATGGGTTTGTTGAAAATACTAAACTTTTAATTTATTGATATGTATGTATTATCTTTGAACAAATAGTTCTTGCGTATTCTTCTGTTTTTTTATTTGGTACAACAGGGTGCTAAAAATACTAAAATAGCAGTCAAAATCGTTCCAGGTATTTAACTTACCAAAAACTAAGAACTTTTAAGCAGGACGATGCAGAGTAACATACTGTTAAAAATGAAAATATAGATCGAATGAGACCTTCTATATTATTTTAGTTTAACAGACTGTTAGAAATACTTAAATAGCAAAATTTTATTTTTCTTTTCGTTTAGTTTTTTCTAATGGGCTGCCAAATATACTAAAATAGCAAAATCCTCTTTTAGATTCAATCTCAATAGTACTTTTTTATTGTTATTCTTTTTTATATTTACGTGTTTTTATGTATTCTAGATTAAATTGTATTAAATAGTGTGATTGATTTTTTCTCGATATGTTGCCATTGGTGGCATCTTTATCAGCTCTTTGCAGGTATCTAACCTACCAAAAAATTTGGAATCTTTATAGCAGAACGTTATAAAGTGATATACTGTTACATATGAAACTGAAGATGGAATAAGACCTGCAAGTTTTTCTTCTTTTTCTTCTTATTTATTTTTTTTACAGATAATAAAAAAATACTTAAATACCAGCCACAATCATCGCAGATTTTTAACCTACTAAAGGCTCAAAACTTTTTTAGAAGGACGTTGCAGAGTATCATACTGTTAAAGATGAAAATGATTATGAAATAATTCTTTTTCTTTTTCGTTCTTTTTTTTTTTTTTGCTTGTTCAACGGACCGCCAAAAAGACTAAAATACTAGTCAATACCATTGCATGTTTTAACCTACTAAAGACTCATACCTTTTCAAATAAGACTGATATGCTTATATTTTACCTATTTATTATATCCTAATTTGTAATTTTTACAATATATTTTGAGTACAAATATGTTGTTTATGTGATTTTATCTTTATTTGTAGGTTTTGTACTCAAATGGAAAATTGTTGAGATTTTAGACTAAATTGAAAAGAAAAAGCAACTCAAAGGGAGAATTGAAGATTTGATAAATTGACAAGGAAGAAATTGAAGCACTTGAAGAGTTAGAGGAGTTTTAATTTAAATTGGCTTGAAAAAAAAATAATTTTCTTATTCCTGAAGAAATAGGGTTTGAGGAAAGCCTATAAAAAGAGGATTAGGGTTTTATTTTTGGGAGACTTAACCAAAAAAAAAATCAATTCAGCCCTCCCCCAATTCCTCCGCCGACCATCCCTTCTCCCCATCTCCACGCATCCACACATCACCACACACCACCTTCATCATCATAAACCCCCCACCGCCGCTCCACCTAACACCTCCACGCACCATCATCCAACTCACCTCATCACCCCATTAATATCTCCTCCCAATTCCACCAGCCCCTTCGCACGCCACAAAACCCTTCACCAAAAACCCAAAACCCCAGCCCATCACTACCTCAAGCACCAATCCAAAGCATCATCATCGGAGGAGGACGCAAGCAATTTTGGACTCCTAGGTTTCATTGTTTTATTTATTTTTGAGATGATGTATAGCTAAATTATTTAATTTAGGGTTTTGGATGTAGCCGCCATACTATTTAATTTAATTTAATTCATGATTTTGACTTTTTCATTAGTTGATATTTAATATTCTTATTTTTATTTCATGTGAGTATTTGATTACCACTTGCATGCTTTAAAGGTGTTTAACTGAAGGAACGACAGTTGAAGGTTAGCACTAGTTCATGGGAATATTAAACTTAGATAGTGAGCCACGAAAGTAGGAACACCGTCTTTGCAACTATAGATTATAGGGTTCTTAATGTACTCTAATTAAATCCTATAGTCACGACAGTAGTCATAGGGTTAGTTTGAGTAAGAGAATTATATCACGACAGTGAATAGTTCTTAAATAAGTGAATCGTTGTGAGATTAATGAAAGTCCAAAGTCACATATCTATAGGTTGAGTTAAACTGAGTAGTCGGTAGGTGAACCCTTTGCCCTAGGTTTTCTTTTATTAATTAGATTTAATTATTAGTACTAGGTTTAGTTTAGTTTAAAATCATTATTATTAGTTGTATAAATAATAATAAGAAATAATTTTAACCGGTACTTGGTAATCTTCTCTGTGGGATCGACCCTGCTTGCTACTTTACTACTAGTAATTGTATTAAGTAGGTAATTAATATTTGACTAGTGTGACGACGGCTTGTCAAAGACGATGTAAAATGACATGATGGATGAAAATGGAGATGGAATGAGACCCGTGGGAAAGTGGTTCTTTCATAATTAGATGATACTCTTGGAAAATATATAATTCCTGATATGTTACTTTTAGAAGTATTGCTTTTTTCCGATACATTTTTTAATAATGGCACAAATGCTTTAATTTTTGTATATACCGTTAATTTTTTCCGTTTTGTCTTATTTATAAACAAAACTTATATTTCTTATACACCTTCGTTTTTTTCTTTTCTGTTGAAACTATATACTCATATTTAACGTTAAAAAGAAATAGGATAATTTAATTCTAATTTGCTCACCGTGCGTTGCACGGGTAAAACACTAGTAATAATGATGATGGAATTGATTCTCCAAGGAAACATTAAAGAGAGGACGAAGGAAAGAATCCAATTAGCCCAATTGGGATTAAAAAACAATAATTTCCCAACTTTGGTGCTACCAAAGTGAAACGAATCTTCTTAAACCGGAGCCTAAACCCTAGATTAAGAGAATCTTTTGAAAAGTCATTAGGTAAAAATAAGAACCAACGGCCGTAAAGCCTCCGATCAAAAGAATAATTATAAAATAATAAAAAAGGAACTTTCCCATTTTCTTTTAGTATTTTTTTATTTTCATTTCTGCTGGAATCTATATAAAAACCCCCCGGGTATCAGCCGCCTCAATTCTGACCGCTGAACTCTCAATCTCAGAGTCGTCATCTCTCTGAGTTCTCCCCTCCGATCAGCGTCGTCGCGCCACTACATTTTTACCGGCGAAGCTTTTTCTGGTGAGAGAATACAGAACGCAGCAGCCATGTGTGGAATCCTCGCCGTCCTCGGTTGCATTGATAACTCTCAAGCAAAACGTTCCAGAATTATTGAGCTCTCCCGAAGGTAATGTATTATATTGACTTTGTTCGTTCTTTTAGTTCTACATTTTGGTTAATCGTATCGTCTTTCTCATTTAAATGTCTAATTGTGGACGCTGAGCCAGAATTTTCCTTTCCTATTGCGTTTTTTTCTCTGTTTTGAGTGTACTCACAGGCTTTGAAATTTTAATTTATGGTTTTGGTTCTGGAATTGAGGTCAAGAGACGTGGTTTTGATGCTGAAGGGTTGATTCTTTACTGGTTAAGAGAGTTGGCAGGAGTTCTCGAAATGAATGTTTACTTTTGCATTTTTACCACACTTGGGACTAATGCACTGCTCTAGGGAGCTGTCTTTAATGTGCACTAGGGATTTATGGTTTGGGAAAATTCCAATGTCTTGCCACATTAAGCTGGAGGATTCATCGTAATGTAGCTTATGACTTTTACGGAAGCGCAAGGTGACTGATATTGCATATGGTTGTGGAATCTATCTGGGGGATTTTCAGAATTAGTTGGTATATTAAACTTTCAAAATAATACTTTTTGATTGTGAAATACTTAAAAGTGGATGCCGTTTTCTGGATATGCATGTGAAGATGGGACTGGGAATGAAAGTAGTTGCATTGGATATGGGAACAACTGTGAAATAACTCTGTAACATACCAGAGCGCCTAAATAGGTTGCAAACTTTGACTTTCCACTAATTATAATAGTGAATTATCATCATGTGTTGGCAATTTTAGATTTTGTTGGTCACCTCAAATGTATACTCGCTTTAAGTTTATTGTGAACTGTAAGGAGAAATTTATAACTGGTTAGTTATCTGAACTCTTGCATAACTGCAATAGATTTGAGTACTGAAAACCATGGTATCTGGAAGAAACTTTAATTAAATTTGTGCGCTTTATCCCTCAAGTGTACATGAAAAAATATTTTTACTTTCTGCAGACTGTTGTTGTAAAATCTAGTGTGTTCTACCCTGTCATTATCAAATCTATATCACTTGTGGGTCCGCAAATCGTTCTAAGATACAGGCGTTAATGCTAATGTTAAGTACCATGATGTATTCTTCCTGCACTGGATTAATTTGATGATGGCAAATATATTCACAAACAATTTTCTGATAATTTTTTCTGCTATCTCTTATTTGCAAAGCATAGGTTACGTCATAGAGGTCCTGATTGGAGTGGTTTGCATTGCTACCAGGACTGTTATCTTGCCCATCAGCGTTTGGCCATCATAGATCCTACTTCCGGGGATCAGCCACTGTACAATGAAGACAAGACAATCATTGTCACGGTAGGAGTACACCTTACTTATAGTGCTACTTCTTCACTTCTACTGTAATTTGCTTTCCTACCAAATAGTGCATCAGTATGAAACATGAACATGATTGTTACATTTGAAAATGGCCATTCTTTTGTTACTTTTAACCACAGGGAAAGCAATTTCATTAATTTGCAGCCTCGGATACATATTGATTTTAGTTTACGGGAAAATTACCTGGAGAGGGATGCTAATCTTGGTGAAAAGTGATTTTTCCCAGATGTTTCTTTTTGTCTCTCACTTTTAAAATGCTTCTGATGATAGTTCTCCAGCCAAAAGTCTTTGCGAACACTCTTTTCGAACTTATGAACTAATATTTGTTCCCTGCTCAAAGGTTAATGGAGAGATTTATAACCACGAGGAGTTAAGGGACAAGCTGAAGGATTCTCATACGTTCCGAACTGGAAGTGACTGTGAAGTCATTGCACATCTTGTAAGTACTTGTGCTCAGTTGGATAGTTGAAGGTCCATAATCCTTGACATGCTGGCAAATGTACCTTCACTTGTTGCATATACCTGAAAAATTACATTTTCATCTATCGTACAAATTCTTTTATGCATTATTTTCTGTTTGTTTTTCCTTTGATTATAGCCTGACAATCTGCAAATATTACTGTCAGTATGAAGAATATGGAGAAGATTTTGTTGACATGCTTGATGGGATGTTCTCCTTTGTGCTTCTTGATACCCGTGACAAAAGTTTCATTGCTGCCCGGGATGCTATTGGTATTACACCCCTTTACATGGGTTGGGGCCTTGACGGTATTTACCTTGCATATTTCCTCTGAATGTTTATCAAACTCTGAGCTGATGTGTCTTTTTATAGGATAGTTTCTATTCAACTCATTGTTTAGACTGTAGACTGTGCTCCCTGCATGGGCAGTTTCAAAAACTTTACTGGGAAATGATATTCATTCGTGTATATGATCGTCAATAGAGAAACTAATATTCATTCGTGTATATGATCGTCAATAGAGAAACTAACATTGGCATTCTGGTGATTTTCACAACATTCTAAATTTTGTGTGAGTTAACTTCGATTCTATTTTTACCTAAAGTCCTTGTGATGAACTTGTTTTCGGCTACTCTTGTCATTAGCAATCATATCTAAACCTTTTCTTGCGGTAGCCTTACAGCTTTGTTACTCTATGTTGCATCATGAAAAATTTTATGGGTTTCATTTTACATTTCCAATTCTTTTGGTCAAGATTTATCCATTTGAGAATATGCAACCTTTTACTTTCATTGTGAAACAATTAGCTTCTTTTATAATCTGTTTCTTTCTTGATGAGCTTTCTGAGATGTGTATGGTACAAGTAGCTAGTGCTTTCTGATGTGCTTTCTGTGTGTTCCAGCAGCAGTTTTTTTTTCTCTTATTTTTCTTCTGTGAAACTCTTTTTAATGTTCTTTTATCATCTGTGGGACTGATACCATGGTCTACCAGAAATTAATATTGATTTCTCTGTTTTAGTTGTACATCATATGCTTTTTCTTTTTGTTTTTTCCTTTCTGGGTAATGGTCTGTTACAGCAGTTAGTCTGCTAGTAGCTGTTGTTGTTGAAGGGTGGCACTAAAACTGTTAGGGTTGAACTTGCTCTAAGTTTTTGCGTATGTCGATCAATATTTCCTTTGATCAGGTGTCAAGCAACACAAGTAATTTGAGACAGCTAAATTGCTGGTTGGCATCTTGTGTTGATTGAGAAAAAGTTTCATTCATCAATTGATTGTATGCATGAGTTAATGACAGTCGTCCCTCTCCCTCACTGTTTTAAGTTCAAACGTGAAAGTTTCATACATCTCCATGATTGATCAATCATTTCCCCTTACTAGGACTGTCAAACTACTGATTTCTTTTTCTTTATAAGCACATTTTCTGTTATTATGCTCATACTCATCTTTTTCATGAGGGAAAGAATTGAAAGACTATGGAGAATAACAGTGGAAAGTCTAACATGTGCCGCATAGTGCGCAGTTTATAAGTTATCGTTTTTCATAAATTCAATGCAATATCAGTATTTATATGTGTAAACAATTATTTTATGTTGGATTTCCACAGGATCAGTTTGGTTCGCATCAGAGATGAAGGCCCTGAGTGATGATTGTGAGCGCTTCATGTCCTTCCTTCCGGGGCATATTTATTCAAGCAAGACGGGTATGTTTTATGATTCGTGTTTGTGTTCAAGACAAACAAAAAGACTAGTGATTTATCACATATAACAGTTCTTCACCATCAATTTTTCTGAATTTTGGGGTGCGGAAACATCTCGTTCAAAGAAATTTTGACAAAATTCCATCATAAAATGAGCTTTAATAAAGAAAGAGTATTGTTCTTATCAGTTATCTCTGTCAGGGAATGAGATTTATAAACTTTTGAATGTTAGTCCTCTACTTGCACAAGCTGATCATGACAACAATGCGGTTTGACTCTGTGTGGTGATGTCACCTTTCAGTTATTAACAACATAAAATTTCAGTGATTATAATATTGTGTCCTGGTTTTGTGGAAAATTTGAAAATAAGTTCTTGCATTATGTTTGAAATAACCTGAGAAAAAGCTTGATTTAAGCTTTTCCAAAAAGCACTATTATGGTTCATCAATTATCAACTTAAACCTATGGCTAGAGAGCACAAAGAATTTAAAGAATCGTCAATAGTCTAGTAAATTTCTATTCCATTTTGCATAGACTGGTCCTCCATACTTTTACTCTTTGTGGAAAATATAATACTTTGGACCTGGTCTTGATATCAATCACTCATATGAGCAGGAGATCTAAGAAGATGGTATAATCCAGTATGGTACTCAGAACAGATTCCTAGCGCTCCATATGATCCCTTAGTTTTGCGCAATGCCTTTGAGAAGGTTAGTTCTTTTGATCTTCTTGCATATTTTTGATGTTTTCATTTGTTTTCTAATCAACTAATGCAATTAACCTTTTCAATTGAAATATCTAGACATGTGTACATAGAGTTAATAATCATAATGATCAAAGCCCTTTATTCTGTGTCCATATATTGTCCATTGACATTCGCTTCTGCTAATACAGTAATATTCACCTCCTGTCATGTTCTCGTATATTTTCTTGTCCTTAGTGTTCTTTTCTGTTAGTCTGGAAATGTGGATTTTATTTTCTCCAGTGTTCGTCTTTTTTGAATTCTGTGTAAATGTCCCTATGGTTTTTCTTTTCACCTCCCATATCATATTAATATATTTTGATATTCTGATTGAAATTAACATTATTGCAGTTTCTGTTTTATCATCCGTGACACTTAATTCAATAAGGGCCAGTACATGTATTTGATTGGCATTACACTTCCCTTCAAAATTGAAAGAAACTGTCTCTAAATTAAATTCATTGGTGCATTTATTTCTTCAAATTGCAGGCTGTAGATAAGAGACTTATGACAGATGTGCCATTTGGTGTTCTTTTATCCGGTGGCCTGGATTCATCACTTGTTGCTGCAGTTGCCTCTCGTCATATGGCTAAAGTAGAGGGTGCCGCGAAATGGGGTTCGAAATTGAAAACCTTTTGTATTGGCTTAAAGGTATTCAAGTTTCCTATTAATTTTTAAGTATTATTCTTTACTTTGTGAATAGAGTTGCATGCACATTTATCAACTGTCAGTTCCGTAACCCTTTCTTCTCTTTATTGAATAATTTTTTTCATAACTAGGGTTCTCCAGATTTAAAAGCTGCCAGAGAAGTAGCTAAATATCTTGACACAGAGCACTATGAGTTTCACTTCACAGTTCAGGTAAAATAACTCCTTGAATCTAGAAATATAACTTCATGTTTCCATTGTGAAGCTTTTTTTTGCTCCTCTTCTTTTTACCCATTTTTCATTCTTGTGACTCCATCAGGAAGGATTAGACGCACTTGAGGAGGTTATATATCACATTGAAACTTATGACGTGACAACTATTCGAGCCAGTACTCCGATGTTTCTTATGTCACGTAAAATAAAGTCTTTGGGAGTTAAAATGGTTCTATCTGGAGAAGGTTCTGATGAAATATTTGGTGGTTATTTGTACTTCCATAAGGCGCCTAACAAGGAGGAATTTCACCAAGAATTGTGCCGCAAGGTTTTGTTAGATTAATAGATAGCTCTTTTAAGAAATTGATGTCCTTTATCATGTGTCCTTTGTCTTCTTGAATGTTTGGAAATTTGTGAATGTGTGAACAGATTAAAGCTCTTCATCTTTATGACTGTTTGCGAGCAAACAAATCGACGTCAGCCTGGGGTCTTGAAGCTCGTGTGCCCTTCTTGGATAAGGAGTTCATAAATGTTGCTATGAGCATTGATCCTGGATGGAAAATGGTAATGCATGCTTATATGTCTTGAACCTGAAATTGTAGTGAATTTCAGAAAGATTGCTTCTCTCTTCATAATTATTGTTTCTTACACAATAAAGTCCTCTTCGTTTCAATATGTTCAGCCCGAGCATCGACATTGCGGGTTTTGCCCCCATTCAAGTTTCTTTGAATATCTGAAAATTTCAATGCTGTGTCAGGGTTTCAAATTTCTTTGTTGAATTGTCTATTGGGTGGGTTTCTGTTTTCTGGAGAGGAGATATACTACTGACATTTGTTTGGTTTTTTATTTATATGTTTCTGTTAGTGAGATGATGCATTGTGTGCATGACAACATTTGGTTTGTAAAACATTTTTACCATTCTTTTAATTTATTTTTACAGTTTCATCATTTCCATAGCCATTTTGTTTACCAATAATATCCCTTTTTGGGGAGTAAATCAAGCTAAAGAAGTCGAATTTTTGAGAGCTTTCTAATCCACATAATGGGCGATATCATTTTTTTGCATTTCACACATTCTGTTTTGTCAGACTACATTTGACCTTCTTATGGAATCGAAACACTTCTCTTTTTCCCCTCAGTAAACATAGTATAGACTTCAGTGACTCAAAGTGGATGTTACTTCCTTTAAAGTTTGCTGATTACCTTATTCATTGAACTATTTTAGGTTAGACCTGATCAGGGAAGAATAGAGAAGTGGATTTTGCGTTATGCATTTGATGATGAGGAGAAACCTTACCTGCCGAAGGTTTGATTCTCTTCTCTCTTTTCCCTTTTTTTTTTTTTGGTTTCTTAACTCTTTTCACACTTTGCCTTCCCATTGAGTGTGGATTTCTATTCTCTTTAGTAACATCCCTAAACCCTCCTCTTTGGCTTTTTCTGTTTTCTGGTTCAGCACATCTTGTACAGGCAGAAGGAGCAATTTAGCGATGGAGTTGGATATAGTTGGATTGATGGCTTAAAAGATCATGCAAATGAGCAGGTTAGGCCATTTCTTCTTTTATTCTTTGGTTTTCTAAGACCACAACATACAATTGACAGTTGTCGTACACCATTGTCAGGTTACTGATGCTATGTTAGCAAATGCAAATTTTGTTTATCCTGAGAATACGCCATCCACAAAAGAGGCATACTACTACAGGACTATCTTTGAGAAGTTCTTTCCCAAGGTGAGTTTGCTTTGTGTTCAATAACCATCAAAAGATTAGAGGGGAACAGTTGAAAGAAATTTATCTTCTGTTCTTTGAAATTGGAGAATTTTCACATGCAAGCATTATAAATAGTACCCAAAGTAAGGTCTTGTACTCTCTTTCCGAAACCAAAACTATAACAATTTAAAAAGTTTTCGACACAAGAACTTTAATTAGTTCTCCATTTTGTCTTCTCCTTCTTTCTTGGTGTTGTGCAAATCTCTTATTTAGCTGTAATTTTTGTTATATCTAATCCCCCCCTCCCCCTCTCAAGTGTTGTTCATACTGATCTCGAATCCTTTGATATATGTATATGTATATGTATATTTATGTATAATATTGAAAATGTATTTGGTAATATTGAAAATCATACTCAGGAAACTTCAATTATTTGTCAATTAGATACCCTTTACATCCAGAAAAAAAGAGTCTGTTTGTTGAACTAACACGGTACAACAAACATGACTTCTATTTTTTTGACAGAGGGATTTCTCTTGGATATTTATGGACCCATGCTCTTTGATCCATGAGCTCATTGTGATTTGCTTTTCCTTTGACTAGAATGCTGCAAGATCAACTGTTCCTGGAGGTCCGAGTGTGGCATGCAGCACCGCAAAAGCAGTTGAATGGGATGCTGCTTGGTCAAACAATCTTGATCCATCAGGTAGAGCTGCTCTTGGTGTCCATGTAGCTTCTTACAATGATTCCTCAGAGGGTAAGGTAGCGACGACGTTGGAGACCTCACCTCAAAAACTAGAAGTGGAAAAGACTGCAGTGACTGTTTAATATGTGGATACGTATGTTCAGTCTGACAACTTCTTCTCAACTAAGCTTCTGTTGTTGTATTGAGGTCGTAATTTTAATCTGGTTGCTGTTCTGTATTGAAGCTCTTTGTAACTTGCTAAGGAAAAAATCCCAGAAGATTAAAACTTTGTTTAGTTCTTAAAGAAGAAAAAAAAAAAAAAACTATGTCTGATGTTAATACGGTAATGGTATCTTATTGACCTTCCTGGTCATTTGCAGCTCAATGTTTGAGATAAACTTCTTTGTCCATGAAATCTTAGCTGTGATTAAATCATTTCTCTTTATTTTCTCAAATGAGTATTGCGAATCCAAAATAAATAACAAACAAAAGTAAAGTAGCCAGTTTTTTAAAACCAAACATATATTCTCCCAAACCGGATAATAATTTTGGGACAAAGAGTATATTTTAAGGAAAGTGAACTATCGGTGTTTGGTAAAAAAATAAGTTGATATTTCAAAGTTTTTGCACGGGAGTGATTCCTAGCAAATGGAAGCATTTTCGCATAACTATGCCCGTCGCCTCGCACAACAGTAGTCGACTTGTCTCCTCTGTTGCTCCAACCACCGGACATTTGTTGTAAAACTTCATAAAGCTTTCTGCCAAATGGTAGAGATACTCGCACAAGATATGTGGTAGCATCTTTGTGCAAGCATCTTCAACCACCTCCGGAAATTGCACCAAATGAAGCCCTAAAACCACCTCAGCAGGATGATCTAAAACCACAGTCCCAACCTTCTTCAGTTCTTCAATGTCCTTTCCAGATTTCCCCATTATTGAACAGATTCGGGCATGCGCGTAAAGTAAATACACGGCGGTATCTCCCTTGTCATTAAGCATCTTATCAAGGTCGAATGTGTAGTCTGTTGAGATATTGTTCTTTAGGTCAGCATACTTCACTGCTCCATATCCAACAGCTTCAGCAGTTTCTTCAAGCTCCTCTGCAGTCCATTCCTTAGCTTTACCCCTTTCGACTAAAGCTGCATTGCTTCGGGTTTTAGCTTCATCTAGCAAATCGACTAGTTTAATTACGTCTGCACTTCTCGTCTTGAATTTGCTTCCATCAGCATTTTTAACACAACCGAACTTAACATGGCTGACTTTCGGGTACCTATCATCATCATCAGCTGTTGCAGGGAGCCAACCTGCAATTCTGGCAGCAGAAAAAAGCTTTTCGAAATGCTCCTTCTGACCCGCATCAGTTACATAGGTGATCCATTCTCCTTTTTCTACATTAAGCCTATACCATAAAGCAGCAAGATCTGTTGAACTATAGTTGTATCCTCCCCCACTCTTCACAACAACTAGCTGCTTTTCGCCTTCGACAAAGATAACTCGCGCGCCCCCCTGATCTTCAACAATCAGGTGATCCAGGAGACCTAATACTCTGGAATGTATGGATTATAGAAGCTCTCACCCTTCTCCTCCAACACAACGCCGAGCCGTTGATAGATTTTTCGTATTCTTTTCGAATGGTTTCGCAAATCCCCACCCAAGCCTTCCTATGTTTTTTCATCTCCTCCCTGAAGTTTTACGACAGCTTTCTTGGACTTCTCTATAAAAACTTCATCTTTCTCTTTTTTATACCTATTGTATGCCTCTCTGTACAGTTTCTCCAAGTCCCCAACGGAAAGACTACTTACAGCATCTTCCCAGTTGTCGGGATAGTTACCAAACAGAAGTTCCAAAAGCATCCCAAACTGGGTTCCCCAATCACCAACATGATTCCTCCTTAGAAATTCAACATTGGAAAACTCCAGCAAACGAGCCAGAGTATCTCCAATGACGGTAGACCTAATATGCCCAACGTGCAACTCTTTCGCTATATTCGGGGACGAAAAATCGACAACAACCTTTTGACAGGAAGCTTTGGAGCCCATGAATCCATACCATCAAGCAGCAGATTCTGAATCCTGTTAGCCATCCATTGGCTTGACAGCAGGACATTCACATAGCCCCCACCTGCGACAGAGCACTTGTCAATCATGTCTGAAGCAGGAAGATTCTTCATGATGGCCTGTCCAATGGCCATGGGATTACTGAATTCAGGCATCTGGATAGCCTTTCGGCAAAGCTGATAATCGCATTGTTGCATTGATAGTGGCCATGTTTATGATCTTTACAAGGGGCTACAACTGGGGCTTGGGCTACTTCGTTAGGGAAGGTTATTTGGAGTGATTCTCCAAACAGAGAAGTATTATGTTAGAGAAGAAACATATTCGCTATTTTTTTAAGGGTTTAAAGATATATTAATTTCAAAAAAATTTGGACTTTTTATATTCACTTTTTTGAAAATTCCATAAAACGCTCTATGTATACTTTGAAGAAAAAAATACAAAAAAAAAAACCCTCGGGATATAATTTGCTGAGGATATAAAATTTGTCCATCTACATAACAGGTGACACTAAAAATTTCTATTGCTACTATGAATGCCAGTTAATCCAAAACTAGTAACCCTTTCAAATATTTATGTAATTAAAGGAAAAGGAAAAGGAATACTCATTTAAACTAATTTGACAAGATCCGCCATATTTGACAAGATCCGCCATACTATTTGTTTCACAATAAACACCAACCATGTAAATTGTGCCCTTCTATACTTGGTATAAACTATGGGGACAGTTGATTATTGTTCCAAATCTGTACATTTCAGTCTGTCCATAAGCACATCAAGGAGTGTGGTGTTATGCTCCAAAATCTGCATCTTGCGTATTTATCCTCTTTCCACCCATTTAATTTTATTTCTAAAAATAGTAGGGAAGACAAAACAGTTCAACATCTTTTTTTGGACTTCCTCTGAATCCCAATGAGCAAATCATCAATAGCTCTTCTAATTCAACCCATAAAAATAAACAAAGCAGAGCGCCGGGAAGCTGAAAACACAAACTCCAGTGTCTCTCTTTATGTACAAGATATATACAAAAGGAAAAGAGTAATTTGATCTTTTCTCTACGGTTATGTACACACCAAGTTTAACTTGGTAGGTTAAAGTATTCAATCAAACATAAGATGAGGATTTCATCGATAATATCAAAATTCAGGCAAAATCACTGAGTAATTTGTTTTACCAAGGAACTAATTCCTGGTGCTTCAGTTCTCAACGCAGCAACCATCTCTTCATACTTCGAAGCATATACAAATCCCCATAACTGCAAAATCAGATACAATATTATCTTCATCTAAATCTGATCGCATCTGGAATGTGTAACAGTTGCTTAAATCCTAATCTTTGCTGCTCCTTGTTACTTTTGGAGAGTTAGATACCCAAGCAGCAAATACTTCAACTTTCTAAATTTCTTTTTTTCTCTTTTGCTTTTTTGTTTTTAGTAGAGTAGGCACAATCAATTGCATCTTCCAGGATTATAAAGAGAGAGTGGAATACCTCAACTTCCTTCACCTCAAAATCCTGTGTGTGGGCCAGACAACTGTTTCCATAAGTGTCAGAAGCTGAACTTGATCCACTCAATCTTCAAAACAGGAAATAAAACATCAGGTAACAAGTTTTGAGGGGGGTAAAGACAAAGGGTAGCATATCTAAGGCAGCTGTATGTGAGATTCACTTGTTGAAATGCACAGTTGGAGCGAAAACTTAGTGAAATAAAGACAAGGACAGATATTCAAATCATGAAACTCACAGGTCTCCATCCAAGTAAAGAGCAAAATGATTACCCCCTCCCAGGGCTAAATATTCTGTTGAGCACAAGGTGAAGTAGCGGTTTACCCCTAGAGGACAGAGGAAGAGCAAAATTAATACCATTAATTAGCGTCAGAACAGTTCATCAGTAACATGGACCTAGAAAAATTTCACAAGGCGTAAAAAGTAAAAACCAAGTTAATCAAATTAGATGCGACAATAAGTCCGAGATTATGTCAGAATGATTGAAAGAAGGACAAAGCCAAAACTTATAAGCCCAGGTAAGAGTTTTTGGCAGTCACAAATAAAACTGAAGGTTCATTTTGCAGTCAATTAGAACAATATTTCACCAACAAATGAACAAACAAAGCCTCGTCGGATACATGGGGTAAAAAATACATTCTTATATTCCACGAAATGCCACTAATTGGTGAAACACGCCTAATGTGCTGTGATGCTCAAAAGAAATAGAACAGCTAAATTGTGCAGGCAGTAAATATTATTGCTAAGCAGAACTATCTGGATGTGTGTAAAGTATGTCAGCTCAAAAATATGTGAATACCTGTGGAACGAAAGATAGTAGGATCACCAGAAACATTTGTGAAGACGAAAGTATTGTTACTTCCCTGTTCCAAATAAAATGTTAACATATGAAGGCCACAAAAATGTTCAATGCAGAAATTTTAAGTCCATGATTGTATTCAATCCCACCTGATACCTTCTCTTGTTTGTCGGTCTTAGGGGCGCCTCAACAAGACCACCAAATACGGCACCTTTGCGGTCTCCTACAACCTGAAGAATCACAGAAAATAAGAGAGGTGCTTGTCACATATTACAGTCATGTGTGTTGGAGTAAGAGAGTCACATGCAAAGAGTGAATCGAGGTTGATGCTGCAAACACATATTTACACACAGTTGACAGTTGACACCCACAGTTGTACTTCAGTGCTCATGCAATTGGCTAAATGGATCAACCAATCATATTACTGTCGTTGTAAAGTGTCCCTAAAAGTTGCTTGGAGTAAGTAAAATGGAGTACTATAACATCGATATGTGTAACCTATTTTTAGAGGACAAACTATATAGACTCATTGGCCATTTACAGGAGGATGCATATATTCAGATTATAGCTATCTTTGAATAAACAGAGAGTGCAAGAAATATAAACCGACAGCCATATTTATCATAATTTCTATATATCCTAACCAAATCAGATTGTTAGACCAAGAGAAATAAGATTTTGAAGAATTTGCAGGTAAAGGTAACTGGTATGTGGAATATTCCAAACGTCTAAGGTTCACAGAGTGATTCTTTGGAGGCTCCGTTCAAGTTTCCATCAGTAACAGATTTCTTTATACAAGTATTACATAATCTTGAACAATGAACACAAAAAGGGAGGCAGGCCCTGCTTACCAGTAAACTGAGACCAGGCCAAAGCATGCTTCTCCTATACAAAGTTGAAATTGATATACCATGCCTCCATGTACTGTAAAATCAAAATGCTAGTTAAAACATTCTTCACTAGTAAAAGACAAAAAGATACAAATTCATGGTAAAAGATCTTAATAGATCTCTACATTTAGTAATGAAAAGGTCTGAGACATGACAGAACATCACTGCACCTGTATAATAATATCCATTTCCTTCCCTGAACAATCACAGGCATGGAAGCAAAAAGAACATTTCGAGTCTTCTCTGAGAGAAGCAAAGAAGGTTCCGAAGTTTCAATGACCTCATCCGAAGGCAAGGACTCATCTAACTTTAGATGAGACATTTCTTCATCACCAGAGACCTTAGGATTATTCTCTTTATCAAATACCATATCTATATTGCTTTTAACTGCACCCGAGTTCCGGAAGCCAGCAAATCTAGTAGCATGGTAGATTTTGGTCAGGGATTGTTTACCCTTAGAGAAGATACTTTTTTTCCGGCCACTATCTCTCAGTATTGGTACACCGGATGCTTCAGCTACATCTTCTCCAAATATGTTCTCCACTTCCGGCTTAGGATGGTGTTTATCATTTTCTGGATTTGAGAGTAAGGAAACTAGGAATGCTGTAAAAGAAGATGTATCAGGGCCATCACCAGAGTCTTCAGAATCCTCATCTGAAGTTGAATATGCTTTACTCCCTTCAGGCTCTGTTTCAGGTTCCTAATGGACAAGAACAATCGGCATAAGTATTGTCATTTACTTGACTCAGACTATAATACATATATTCATATGTTTGGCAGAAGGTGGCACTAGGAAAGGAGTTTTTTTGCAGCTGTAGGAAGGCAAGTTAACTTTGCTTCTGATCATCACACATTAAACTGAAACAAATGCTACCCATCTCAAGCTTTTCCAAAGTAAGCAATCATGACTATAACATCAACAAAACAAAGCTTGAATTTGGTCATTCGTATTTTGGCTCAAGCATATACTTAATTTTCTGCTTATTATCGTTTAGGGATGTGTACTTCATCTATGGAACATCTAATAAACCCCCATGAAAAGGAAAAGATTATCCGGAAAACATCTTGGCAGTGTATACCTAGCACTCTAGCAGACATGTATGAGAGATTCCATAATTCGTACTACAATAGCTACACTGAAACTAAGTCCAGAGCAATTCAGCCACTAAAACCCAAGTGAAAACCTTTCTCTAAACAAAACCAGCTACTTATCAAATAAAATTAAGGGAGAACAAAAAAAGCAAAGGCAAACACTGAAAATGAAAAGACCTAAGCTAAAACGAATCTCCAAAATCATCATAATTCACAGTTTCACACATCAAATAAGAGCCAGGAAAAAAATATGGGGAAAAAAAAAGAATCTCAAAATCAATCATATGTGCTGCATAATACGATCAAAAAGTCCCAGTTCGTAGCTTTAAAAAGATCATGTTTATCAAAAAGAAATCCTAATTGCCCAGCAAATACTGCAAATAACTGACCATGGATAGCTAAGCATTTGAACTTTTTCTCTCTTAGTATTTTGAGAAATTGAGGCACAGAAATTACAACCAACAAAAACTCTGAAATTAAATTACAAAACAAAAAAGGAAAAAAATAAGGAGGAACAACTTACAGGATGAGGAACAGAAGAGGGCTTAACGGGTTTATCAGATATAGGGTTGAGAAGAACAGTGGTAAGATCAGATACAAGGTGGGCTGCTTTACTCCTTATCCCCATGGATGATGATGATGCTGATTGCTACTGTCTGAAAATTATGGTGATTTTGCTGCTGATGATGCTGATAAAGATTTCCCACTTTTTTTTAATCTCAATCGAATATATTCCAACTTTTCAACTAAAATTCTCAGTAATCTGTACTTCTTCAAGTCCCGAATTCCGGCCTCCCCAGATTCTATCACAGCCGGCTGTAGCTATGATTTTGGTGACATGGTTTTCTCAGTCATCAACTCTCGAACAGCCCGTTTGTTAGAATAGTATTAGTAGTGGATTGATTTTCTTATTAGACGTTTTCTTTTCCAATGTCATTGCTGTGGTTTACTTCCCCCTTTCTTTTCCGGCTCTCTTTTTTGTTAATATTTACTTCCTTTAAAAAAAATTACTACTATCGTTTTTGTTTTTTTGGGTAACGATGTAATATGGGGATAATGTCCTTTTTTCTGGGTGCTTCGGTCAAAAAAATTTCAAAAAAAAGATGTGGATAAAAATAATTTTTTTTCTATTTTTGGTGGACAAAACTAGTTGTCTCGATTTGCCAAATCCAGATTTATCTATTTTGTACTAGATTCAGATTTAACAAATCCGAATCTACCCAATAGAATTGATTCATCACATAGTTGTAGCCAAATCCGAATTTACCTAATAAAATTGATTCATCACATAGTTGTAATACAAGGAGATTCGGATTTACCAAATTCGAATCTAGTACAAAATGGATAGATTCGAATTTGACAAATTCGAGACAACTAAATTTGTCCACACCACTCCGGAACATATATTTTTATCCAGGTCCCTCTATTGAAAATTATTTGGGTAAAAAACTCCCTTTTTTCTCCTCCTCCCTCTCTTGAAGACTAAGCAAAATATTTCCATTTTGCCAATGGCATTGATCGAAAAAATGAGTTTATGTTTCTTTTTCTTTTTGTTTTCATTTGTCATAATAAAAAAATTTCAAGGTTAAAGAATGGACAAAATAACTCTTTTTTCTACTGATTTACTGTCTATACTTGTGCCGACGGAATCACAAGAAATTATTGCATAATTATTAGTTTTAATTTTATTTTTTGAGCCCTGTCAACTAATCAAAGTTAGCAAATCTAATGTTAGTGATCCACATAATATAGCTTATAATTCATGTCAATGTAATAGCATGGATACTTTCGATTAATATCAGAAACTTTTTTTTTTAAAAAAAAAAACTCTCCTACAAAAAGTACTATTGGAGTGTTAGAAAATAAACTACATTTTCATCTTTTCCTATTACATTGAGGTGAAATTTGCTATGTGGGTGGTATGGTCACCTTTATAGTATGAGAATAGTAGGTTCACACGATTATTTACTTTTGAAAAATGATAATATTGTAAGGAAATAATAAGTAAGCTTGAGTGTAGATTATGTACTGAAATACAAATTATAAAAAGTGTGACTAAGAATGTAGGTAAACTAGGAGGGACGAGTTTATTTAATTTGTTTTAATGCTTGTGAGTTCGTTTATCTCTTCCTACAATATAATCATTATATGCATAATATGACTTCTCCACTTGACATTTACATCACTAATGAATTATGCAAACAACATATTATTTTCATTTTTCATTAAGTATATTCTTTATTATTGTCCATTTCTACCTAATTACATTTGACCAATATTTTAACAATATATATTTTAGAAGGAAGAGAGTATTTTTCTTTTCTTTTTTTTTCATTGTCTTAGCCAATCTAAATTTAACCACAATAAAAATGAGCATCAGTCAGTCTCTTTCATAAATTGGGAGTCATATTATTTAAAAATAACTAATGTATTGTACGAGTTTGATGCGAAATAAATATATTGCCAGGAAAAATAAGGCAAAAGTTGTGTGTTCAACACTACTAAAACTTTTCAAATCAGTCTCTGTTCTCAGTCTGCTAGTTGGTATTTCATGTTTTTTCTTTTGAAGTGAAAGCATATCATTTTGTTGGTATGGGTGTAAGGCTCAAGAAGATACTATGAAACGCATACAACAAATAGACTCCATGGCCCAATGGATAAGGCGCTGGTCTACGGAACCAGAGATTCTGGGTTCGATCCCCAGTGGAGTCGTCCAGTACTGAAGTTTTGTAGATTTTGAGCCTCTTTTGCTGAAATCATGTACAATAAGCTAACTTTAGAAACCAAAGTCAAACCGACTCCATGGCCCAATGGATAAGGCGCTGGTCTACGGAACCAGAGATTCTGGGTTCGATCCCCAGTGGAGTCGTCAATTATTTCTTTTTACTTCCCAGATTCTTGGTCCAGTACAAACTAGGTCTGGACTGAAGTTATAGAACGTTTCATTTTGACGTTGGCCCAATGGATTAAGTCATTTCGCTACAGGGAAAGATATTCCTGTTTACCTTGAGTTTATACTATTGTTCATAATAAAATAATTTTTAATTGAGTACATTTTATAACATACCCGCCGATACAAATTCCATTTTTCTATCCTCCATTCCTCCGGAAAAAATAATACTCTCTCTGTCCTAAAATTATTGTCCAGTTTGAGATTTCAGTTTTAGTATAATCTGAACTAAAAATGAAAACCCAAACTGGACAATAATTATGGGACGGAGGGAGTATGTAGTTGAGTTAAAACAACTTAACAAAGTTGATTATTTTTCTGGATGGAAGGGGAAGAAAAATAAACTTTTATTAATAGAAATGAATAGCTACATTTTGACTTTGGGAGGATAAATAAGGATAAAATGATAATAAGGATCTCATTAATTCTCTAAATAAATAAAACTGATAAATCAATAAAACCGATTTGATTATTTCCCGTAATTATCAATTTCAGTAACAAATTAAATACAAATTGAAAAAACTGATACAACTACACTAATTATAGCCCAAAATTTGACTTTGTCAGTTTTGCCAGAGGCATTGATTTCATAAAACAAAACGCCAAAAAACGTGTCTCCCATCTACTTAGATTCACGTCTTTGTCCGTTTCTTTGACTTCCTACAAAATCCAGCATTTCTTGCGCATTATTAGTACACAAGAATTGCAGAAACACGCACTCACACACTGAATACAAAGACTGAAAAGAAACAAATAATGGCTACATTGAAGGTCCCTTCATCGGTTCCTCCGGCAGATGAGGATTCTGAGCAACTACGAAAGGCTTTTGCAGGTCAAAATTCTAAACTTTTTTTTTTTTTTTTTCTGTTAATCTGTGATTTACTACAACTTCTGAACTATACTTTGTGATCTGTGCTGAATGCTGATTATGATCATGATGAGATTGTGATGATATTGATATCAAAGAATGGATCTTTTTTAGTGGTTTCTTCTATTTGTAATTTTTGATCATCAGCGTTGATGGAGTTATGACTTCAATAAAAATTAAATCTGGACAATTTCTTGTTCTGGTAATACTAGATGAGCTGTAAGAATTACTGCTTGTATTGTACTTAAGGGTTTGCTTCAAGGTTTTTGTTGTTCTGAGCAGAACTGGATTCCGATAAACTCTTGGCATTATAAAATCTGGACCATTTCTTGATCGATTGATCTTCTGTGCAGTAACTCCATTTTGTTAATAGTAATCTAAGCTTGGTTTGATGGGAAAACATTGACTGGATTTATGAATAGACTATAAGATGACAGTCTTGATTTGATTTGTTCGGGACACAGAATACAGTATGTTTCTTGGTTATCATGCCTTCTAGTTTTAGAGGGGCGTTTTACAGGAGTATTTTCAGCACTTTGTTTAGTGCTTTAACATGATGGGATTTTGCTATTGCAGGTTGGGGAACCAATGAGGCGCTGATAATCAAGATCTTGGCACATAGAAATGCTCCTCAACGGAAGTTGATTAGGGAAGTGTACGCTTCAACATATGGAGAAGATCTTCTGAAAGATTTGGATGCTGAACTTTCGAATGACTTTCAGGTTACTTTCACATTGTTCTTCATATGTACGGTTCAAACTTTAATTGCTTCTTTTCCGTACCTTATTCTGATGTTTATATTTTGTCATGGAGTTCATAACCGGGCTGATACAATCTTAAATTCTGACTTTCCTCATTATATTTATTGTGAAACTTATGGGCTTTGGAAATACAGCGTGCAGTACTCTTATGGACACTTGATCCAGCTGAACGTGATGCAGTCTTGGTTAATGAAGCTACAAAGCGGTTAACTTCTAGCAATTGGGTCATCATGGAAGTTGCTACTACTAGGTCTCCACAAGATCTCTTTAAGGCTAGGCAGGCTTATCATGCTCGCTTTAAGAGATCCCTCGAGGAAGATGTTGCATACCACACAACTGGTGATTTCCGTAAGGTAATTTTGACCTTTTTTTGGTAGTTTAATGGTGCAAATATTCCAATTTTTGAGAAAAATCTTCTAGGAACAGGCAACGGTATGTTATTCATGTACATACAGTTAGAGCCAAATGACATTTGATTCTTAATTCTAATGCATTGTGGCATAGTTCTAATATGTGCATTTGCAGGCCTTAACTGAGTTTCTCTTCTCTTTTGTTTTTACTGTCATTTTCAAACAGCTTTTGGTTCCCCTGGTTACTGCATTCAGATATGAGGGAGAAGAGGTGAACATGATGTTAGCCAAGTCAGAAGCTAAAATACTGCATGAGAAGATATCTGAAAAGGCTTACAACCATGAGGAGTTGATTAGGATTTTGACTACTAGGAGCAAAGCACAGCTTAATGCTACTCTCAATCAGTACAACAATCAGTTTGGGAATGCTATCAACAAGGTATTACCTGCTGCATCGCTTTATAATCCACTTGACATGCTTCAAAGGTTTCGGTTGAATTGCTTTGTTTAGTTCTTAGATTTTCATCTAAATATAATCCATAAAGTGAAATGAAATTCATCAATATGTAACAGAATAATGCATAGAATACCTCCTTGTTCTGACTGAAGTATGATAGTTTAGGCGACCCCTCATTGTCGACGTAGTTGTTGTCTCCACATCTTAATTTAAGATCCTGTTGTAATCAGCAATTTTTTTGTAACCGCAGAATTTGAAAGAAGATCCGAAAGATGAGTTCCTGAAACTACTCAGGGCAACAATAAAGTGCTTGACCTCTCCTGAAAAATATTACGAGAAGCTTCTTAGATTGGCTATCAATAAGATGGGTACTGATGAAGGGGCTCTCACCCGAGTTGTGATAACTAGAGCTGAGGTTGACCTGGCGCTTATCAAAGAACAGTATCAGAAAAGGAGTAGCATCCCTCTGGATCGTGCAATTGCTGGTGACACTTCTGGGGATTATGAGAAAATGCTTCTGGCTCTGCTAGGACATGGAGATCTTTAAGTCACTTCTTTTGGCTATATCTGAAGTTCATTTCCAAATGAGTTCTGCACTTACAAACATCAGTTCTTGGAACTGAAAAGCTGTCTTTCTTTAGTTTTATGGGGAGCTTTTGCTGAGATCTCAGTGAACTTGTTCAAATTATTAATGTGGAACTGTTACTTTAAAGGTTGAGTATGAAAGCACAATGCATCACTACTTGTTCTGCTGCTATAGCATTTTTTTAATTATTATTATTATTATTATTTTTTTTTTTGTAAAGTGCTGCTGTAGCATTAAAGTGTGACATTATCATCAAAATACAATGCATCACTGGATGCTGGCATCAGTGAAAGGGTAGATTACAGTACACCACTATGTCCAGGTACAGGTTAAAATATTCATTGAGCACAATGCCACACAATTTATGGCGCCACGGCTTTTCTTTCCTGCATGAAAACTTGTTTCCAAAGATGCTAAAGTTGGAGTTTTCCTGGATGAAAAGTTGTCTCCACAGATTAAAGTTGCAGTGTCATTGTAATAAACTTAATTCAGAGCAGCGGTAAAAGAAAAGCAGAAACTCGAGCAGTGATATAAGATGTCTCGATCCTAAACATGAAAAGTTCCAGTGATTCTTCAAAACGAAGTATCATAAAACTAACTCGTTAGAGATGATTCTTCAAATGATAGAATCAAATGAAGTATCATAAACTACGCCTATCTCTTAATCCATAGTAGTTCAACACATCCTGCAACTAAAAACTAGGCTCCAAGTTCTTGTCAACTATGAATGCACATCCGAAAGCTGAACTACAACATAATTTGTACATTCAAAAGTTGAACTACAACATAAGTTTCTGGAACGTAGAGTTATTGGCTTTAAGGATTAATAACTTCTAGCTGCTCGTCATCAGTTAGATTAAAGCAATGGTGCTCTCTCCACCAGGCGGTTTGCGGACACCACCCAAGTGATCTCTCGCTTCAACCTTGCCATCTGCAAAAATATTACTGCCACTCATTTCCTTCAGCTTAGCCTTGCTAAGTGACTTCTCAGCAGATCCAGAAGGTACATCTCCCTTGAAAATGTCATTCCCAGTCAACTCAGCAAATTTTTGATTGTGTATTTTCTTGGAGGTCTTGACAACTGGTTCTTCACCAAACATTATATTGCTTTGGCCACCAGCAGGCTGAAATGGTTCACAAATAGATTTAGAAATTGTACCTTTCAAACTTGAGTAGAAACTGATACACAAGTTTTAAAAGTTGACTTACATTAGAAACCCTTACAGATGTACGTATCATTCGGGGGGCAGGTTCTTCTATGTCTTTGCTTTCTTTTGGTTCAATAGAACGAGCAGCAGCATATGATCGAGGGGGAACTTCAGGAGGAGGACCAAATATATCGTTTCCACTTAGTTCCTTGGACTTTGCATTAGAGATTTGCTTCTTCATCTTAGCATCAGCTTCACTTTCCAAGGTTCCACTTAACTCTCGCTGCTTTGCAACTTCAGGAATAGTAGTAGGCTTCTTTGGAGAAATCCTTTCCTCAGTGCTGAAGGAGATTTGGCTGATGCCTTTTGCAGCTTGCTGACAAAACAAAAAAAGTAAGATTTGCATAAGGAAACTCCATTTAATGATAAAAAGGCGTTTTCTGCTGAGTGTTGATGTTGCAATTATGGCATAGAACTACCTGAACTATTCGCACTGAAGTTCTATCCATGGAAGATATATGACCATTTCCTGATTCTGATGCTTCACCTTCAGCCTCAGCACCGAATATTTTGCTGCCAGTCATTTCCTTCATTTTGTAACCAGAACAAGGCTTCCTATAAAAGAGACCAAACATGTCAACAATCTAAATAACACAAGAACCATAATAGTTCACACTGGAAGTTTTGGAAGAACACGACTAAGCAAGAGAATATGCACCACTACAATATTTATAATGGTAGAGATATGGTCATTGGCCAGCATTACATAACACTTCTGAAAAGGTACCTAAAAACAGCTAATCATCGAAAGTAGTGAGCCACAGCCAGATATCAATCTTCCGGTGATTCAAATAGAGGATGAGCATCAAGCACAGCTAAAGCAAGGAGATGCAGAAAAATGGAGTCCAAGCGCAGCTTCCCCATTCGAAGTGTAAGTTTCGATGAAATACAATCTATTATTTCCTTTTTTAATCATCCTCCTTCCCCACGGTTCTCCAAAGGAAGCAAAAAAGTATTCATTCCCATATAGATTATCCAACATGTTGAGCTACCCCTTACAGGAATTGAACCATCTCAGCACCAAGTGCACATCGCCTAAGCCATTTCAATTTAGAATACCAATCTACCATTTCAAAAGCTCATTTCTTTAATTTTTTTTAGATTCAAAGCCAGCTTTATTCGACCACATTCTTTAATGTACATTGCCATAATCATTTCCCCAAAAAGAGAAACCATTATCCAGACAAAGCAATTTACTTCAAAAATTTCAAATTTTTTAACATGCATTCACAGATCTAAGAGCTAACATAGCATTTCATCTTCACAATGACATCAAAGCTTTAAACTTCCAACAAAATTTATCCCAACAACGAAACAATTAAAAAAAAAAAAAAGCCCTTTAATTAATAATCACATTCTCTCACCTTTTGTTAAGGCTTTCAGCTTCTTCCTCCGTGATCTGTCCTCCAAACAAAACCTTACCAATCCCATCAGCTCCCTACAAAAAAATGGCAACCCATTAAGAAAATGCCCTGCCATTTGGTTCAAAAAATTCTAAGAAAAACGAAACAAATGAGGTGAAAAAAAAAAAAAAAAACCTGTTGAGGGCGAGAGGCGGAACGAGGGGAGGAGGCGGATTGAGGAGATTCCGACCAGGTGAGCAAGTCGGCGGTGGAGCTGTGGGGGTTCCGAGCAGGCGTTACTCTTTCCATTTTTTGTTTTTTTCTCCTCTGGCTTTCAAAATTTGAAAAAGATTGAGAGAAGGTTTTGAAATATCTGGAAAAAAAAGTGTTTTTGTAGTGTATAGATTTTTTGTCGTTATAAACACACGGACATTGTCTGATTACTATCGCTATCTTTTAGCGTGACTGCATATACTACGACTTTGATATTTTCTCTTTTCTTCTGTTAGTAAAATATTCAACATTCTTTCAAATTTTAGACGACAAAATAAAAATAAAAGCTAACGTAACTCTACAATTTAGTTTGCTTTTGGCGTTTAAATTCAACTACAAAATTATTTTAAGGATACTCGTAGGTGTAATAACTGATCGATCGGATTGGATCCGCAGGTATGAGCGACTAATATTATGATTTTATTTTTTTAAATTTGAAGAGATAATTCGAAATTGACAAAAATGATTAACCCGTATTTTTATTTTATATCGTCTAGATAATAATCATATAAAACCCTTTCATATGCTGTAAAATTGATGGTGTGGATAATAAATAATTTGAAGAGACACGAAAGTTGAAGTTTTGCAAATTACTGAAAATAATGTACAAAATTCTTTCAAGTATATATATGTTTGTGTAATAGTTTCGGAGTCATAATCGCAGCTTTTGATAAGTTTTACTTATAAATGGAGGTATAGTAAACGATATCAAGTGTATCAAAATGGATTGACAAAGACAAATACTTGTTAGTCTTTTGAGTACGAATTACATTGGCGAAATCTTCTTTCTCTTCCTCTCCTTCTAAGCTTTAATCTTTTATTTCTTGAAGTTTACTAGAATTTTTTTTTTTTGAAGATTATTTTCTTATCAATATAGGCCAGAGTTTGATCTTGATATTGATGAGCCATTGTTTTTGTGCAATTATAAGTTGCTGCATCGGAGGTTTGGACATAATGAATTGTAAAATAGGAATGATAATAATCTTTTAAGAAAGACTAAAGAAATGTAGCAATATTATGAAGCTCTATCCAAAAACCGAACCTTACAGTTGATTTAATAATAATGAATTCAACTAATAACAAATTAAGCACCTTCATCAATCAGTGCATGATGATTTACATATTCTATCTACTCAATCTTCAAATGTGTCAAGAGCAAATCCAAGTCCAAAAAAGTCATAATCAATGTAATCAACACCATTGCACCCGCAACCATCTTTACAGCCACATGATGACGATGATGGTGATTCTTTCTCCTCGCACCTCCTTGTCTCAATGATCTTCTTCTTTGGTACCTCGACTTTCATTCTTACTTGCAATTTAGGAGGTTTCACATCTTGATTGATCACTTTACTATGATTCTTGCTTGAAATCAGCGGAACCCATGTCTCAATTTCGATGTTTGTTGATTCAAAAACATTTTTCCAAGGAATTTGAGCCGTCCCCAACACCTTTGATGAGTTTGAGCCACCAGTTAAAAATTTCCCAAGAAATGATCCATTACTAGCATTATTGGATCTCCTCCATCTTAACTCAAAGACAACATTTCCTTCTTGCCTTAATGAGCTGATGGACCTTTCATTTCCAAGGCACTCCAATGAAAAACATTCATTCCAGAAGAGATCATGATCAAATGTTGATGATGATGGTGATGAGGGGATTTCTTTGGTGTTGAGTTGAACTCTTTGGTTATTATTTCCTGAAGAGAGATAACATCTGACAAACAAGTCTCCTGATGATGAAGACTTGTTGTTGAAGTCTATGTTTTTTGCTCTTATGATGTTTACCTCAAAGTTGAGGCTAGAAAGAGATTGATCAGAAGAAGATGCAGCCATCTTCATTGGCTTGATAAAATTTCTGTGTGGAAGAGGAAGAAAAGAATGAAAGAAGTTGAGATTAATCTTGGTGAAGAGAAACCATAATTTGGAGGGGGTATTTATACATGTTTCACGTAATTTCTTTATTTCGAAATAATTGTCTTGTTTATTATACTACTACTTATATTACAGAACACACAAGATAATTATTTTAAGACTAAAAGAATATATTTTATTGAATTTTGATTAATTTATACTTTGTAGGAAGGTGGAAGGATGGTTCCGAGTTTTGTATCTTTTCTTTGAAGAAAACTAAGGCTTTGGTTCTTTCCTTTTTTTTATGGCTTTTCCAGAATTATTAATTAATAACTGTCTCATTTCAACATACTTTTTTATATTTTCAATACATCTTTTTACATTTTTAATAAAAAAAACTAAAAACACACACTGAAAAAAACGAAACAAAGATACCCTAAATAAACTAGAGTTTGACATCTTAAGTTGCTTTTGTACTCAATAAGATATGGGGAGATTGAAAGATTAGTGTGGCCCAAATAAAGATTTTAGGGCAATAAAAAAATGTGGTGTTGGAGCATTATTTAAAGGGTATGAAGTGAATCTGATTAATATAAGCTGTTCTAGATTGTGATCATGATTTTAATATAAAGCTCTTCAGATTCTTGAAGGGCTACTTAGATCTTCCAAAATGAAGTGACCATTCTTTAAAGTTTTGGTCAAATAACTTCCAATGTTAGTTGAGGTTGGAGTTAAGTTTGCTTAGTGGAAGATTTGCCCCACTTTAACATGGTGATCAATAGACTTACGTGGATCTAATCCAAAGAGCATGCAAAAATCGTTCGGTGGAGAAGTAACATTATATAGTCGGAGGAAACTTCAAATATACCTTTATCATGCAAATTCATAAAATTATATTCCCTCTGTCCTAAAATTATGTCCAGTTTAAGATTTCACTTTTAGTACAATTTAAACTATAAATGAAAACTCAAACTAGACAATAATTTTGGGACGGAGAGAGTAAATTTATAGGAAGACTTGGGGTGTGCCCTTTTTGCTCCATGCCTTATTGTCCTTAAGTTATTGGTTGTATACATATACCGTCTGCTATGCCTCCCCTAGATTTTGGATTTAATTCAATACTCTCTCTCCCAAAAAATAAAAAAAATAGTCTACTTTATTAGTTTACAAAGTTTTCATAACCATTTTGATTATGTAGTTTTATTGTCCGAGAAGATTAACTGGTCGTGAATCTTTTCCTAGATGTACAGTTGGCGAGGTGCCATTGAACGGATTTTAATTTTGAAGAAAATAAAATATTCATTTTGATTACTTTGGAAAAATTTATATAGATTTATTGGTTATAAACACATTAATATAATTATACTCGGTTGTAATTTGTGTTATTGGAAACTTCGATTGTTACTTTATATTGTTCATATGAACAGTTTTTCTTAGTAAATGAATCATGAACGTCGAGGGGAAAAGAAAATAAGTGTTACAGTTTCATTGGTTGGCGTCATTTTTTGACTGCCCTGTATTAGTTTACTTTTTTCTTTGAACCAATTATTGAAAAAGAAGAAAAAAATTAACATAAACAAGTAGTAAAAGTGATGAACTAGTTGGCGGAAAGCAAATTTCACCGTGTACATCACTGATGATCATGATAGCGATCGAAATTAAACTTAGTAGTTTGTTAATTAAATGGCACAAAATAAACGTGAAAATGATGCGAGTGGAAGGAGAGATCCTTATCCATCTACCATTATATTATATCAATTCAAGCTTTATATAGTTCATCAATATTATCTGCTCACCCTGATGGATGGCCTGATCCTTCAATTAATTGGTTCAGCGCTTAGAAGAGAGATACTGCTTTTTGGTTCATCAGGCTTTTGTTAAATTTGTTTAAAAACAAAATTTGTCACAGTCATAGTAGTGGAACATTGGTCACTAATTTTAACAAAACAAGATTTATTGACTCACCGTAGATTATTATGTTCATAGCATATCAAGATACGAATATTAGAATAGTAGTAATATATTGTTGAAAATCTAGGTTCCATATTTAGCGATCTGAGCTAAATTACAAACCGAAAATCCTAAAATGGCATTGCACTAATCAACTAGTACTAAATTCAGCTACTTGCAAGTTTCTCTCAAGCTGGTCGGTATGGTCTAAGCAGTCTTTAATCTCCTTTTCAGTAACCTTTTTCATCAGTCTGAGTTGTTGACAATGTTATATTTTTGCTTTTAGAAGTATGAATTATTATTCATAGGGTTTGAGCAATTCAAAATTTCTTAAAAAATGAAGCATAAGTAATCTTCTAATTTCTTTTCTTTTAGAATTACTAATACCTCTACAACTTTTGTCTTCACTATTTGAAATGCATCTGCATTAGTTTCGGGCCATATCTGCTAACCCTTCGTTTGAATTCTTGTTTTGTTGTCACTTCTCTCATTATGTTTTTAAACCTTAAAGAGCCAATTAAAATATCGAGTAATCGAAGTGATTTACAAATTATACAAAGTTGCAGATTGAGCTTTTCTGATAGACTAAAATTTAAAATTGGTCCTTTATATTAGGTCATTTGCATATTTTGGTCCTCTACATCAACATTTGTCTGTTTTAGTTCTCTACTTTTACGTTTATAACTTTTTTTGGTCCTTTGGTACTATTCCGTCAGTTTGACCGTTTCGGACATTGGTCAACAGGGGTATTTTTGGTATTTCACAAAAAAATTTCTAGAAAATATTTTTATTGAATAAAATAATAATAATAAATTTAAATATTAAATTAAGAAAATGTTAAAAAAATCTGAAATTGGTCTTGTACATTAGATCAGCTGTACATTTTTGTCATCTACATTAAACATTTGTCTGAAATGGACCTCTACATTTACGGTCATAATTTTTTTGGTCCTTTGACACTATTACGGCCGTTTGAGTGATTTTGATATCAAGTAAACATGGGTATTTTCGCTATCTCGCAATTTTTTTCTAAAAAGCATTTTATGGACTAAAATAATAATAAGAATATTTAAATAATAAAAAGTTAAAATAATATAATAAATTAAATATAAAGAATTTTTTAATATAAAAAATTTAAAATTTAATATTTTCACTCTTCGTGGATCCCGCTGTAAGTGGAGCCCCCAAACCCCATTTTTTGCTGTAGCAAAAAAATGAAGATTTCAAAAAAATTCTTTTTCATTTTACCTTTAACTGTCCGTTTTACCCCTTCCTTGGTGTTATTTTCTTCTTCTTCTTATTTACTTACTACAATAATCTTTTTTTTATAAAGAAAATTACAATAATCTTTTATTATTTATTTAGTTGAATTACTCAAAATAGTACTTTTATGCAATTTTTTTTTATAAAGAAAAGCAAAAGATAAATTAAAACCCATTTTTTCTCTTCATCTTCATCTCGTACATTATTCATATCCTCTATTATCATCCTTTCACCACTATCCCGTGCGTTGTTGGTTGGGTAAAGAAATTTCTACACGAGCCACCAGATTGGGGATTTCCTTACCAACCAACAATATACGTGATAGTGGAGAAAGGATGATGATTGAGGACAAGGATATTGGTAGATTCAAATTCTATAAAAGTACTATTTTAAGTGATTGAACTAAATAAATCATGAAAGATTACTGTAATATTTTTCATAAAAAAGATTATTGTACTAAGTAAATAATGAGAAGAAGAAAATAATACCAAGGGAGGGATAAAAAGTTAAAAGTAAAATGAGAAAGATTTTTTTTTTTTTTAAAATCTTCATGTTTTTACTATAACAAAAAAGGGAGTTTGGAGGGTTTTCCTTACAGTGGAACCTGCGCAGAGTGTAAAAGAGAAAAATAAATTTTTAATTTTTTATATTTAATTTTATTATATTGTATTAAATTTATTGTTTAATTTTTTGTTATCATTTTAATCCATAAAATATTTTTTAGAAATTTTTTTTGCGAGATACCAAAAACACCCATGTTCACTTGATATCAAAATCGCTCAAACTACCATGATAGTGTTAGAGGACCAAAAAAGTTATGGACTTAAATATAGAGGTCTATTTCAGACAAATGTTTAATGTATATGGCAAAAAAGTACAGCTAACCTAATGAACAGGACCAATTTCGGATTTTTTAACATTTTATTAATTTTATTATTTAAATTTTATTATTATTTTATTCAATAAAAAAATTTGGAAAAAATTGGTAAAATATCAAAAATATCCATGTTGACCGATGTCCAAAATGGTCAAACTAACGGAATAGTACCAAAGGACCAAAAAAGTTATGAATGTAGAAGTAGAGGACCAAAACAGACATATGTTGATATAGAGGATCAAAATGTGCAAATGGCCCAATGTAAAGGATCAATTTCGGATATCACGTTAAGCATTGGAGCCAATTCCTCTTACCCATAATTTAAAGCGTAAAACCTACAAAGGAGAAAAAAAAAAGAAAGACAACAAGTCAGTCACAATTCGAGGAATACTTGCAGCATTCTCATAAATGCTATTGCGATGCAGTTGAACATTAGTATAAGGCAACACTCGGTTGAAGGCACAGATTTTCTCGATCTCCACTTTGCGATCCTTAAAAGTTTGGTTATCGCTATCGCTCCAGGGTTCAAGCGTAACTCCGGCACCTAAATCGACATAACATTGGGGAACCGCAATTGTTCCCGCGTCGACAAAGAAAGAATACTCCCTCCACTTTTCTCCATGTTTCTCCACCGCGACCAAGGAATGCGACCCGGTCATAGGATTGTGCTGGAAACTAAACCAACTAGTCTAACTGCGCTGCGACCTTACCATCTTGAAAAAACAGCGGAAGAGGAACATGTCCGCCTTCACCCTCACAAGCTGACAAATATGCAGGAATCCTAAAATGAACGGGATCGCATTTGGTGACCACTACATCAGGGGCATCTCATACGCCCGCATTAGCACCGCCACAAAGGGGAGAAGGGGAAGGTTTAATCCCAATTTCAAGTACCGGCGATAGATGGTCATCTTACCCAGCGGTGGCCGGTGGGAGCGGTCCTTAGACCCAAGCACCATCATTTTCTGGCCCTTTATATTAAAATTCGTCCTAAT